ATAAAAATTTTAAAAAGAAAAAAAGAAGCCTCAGATTCCAATATGTAAGAAGCAAAAGCGAAATCTTCAGGAAACACACGTGCAATAAACAAATTGGAGGTTACAAGCATTCCAGAATTAGTTTGCTAAGCACACTGGCAACATTTAGACTCCTTTAGACAGAAAACATTTAAACATAACTTTAGTTGTAATATACAACTGTAAAGTCTTGTTCAAGAAAAATACGCCTTGGAAGCAGTTTCCAGCATGAGAAATTTCCATAGTTTCTCTTTTTCTGCAGATGATAGTTCTGGTTTAGGGAGTGGTATGAAAGGCGTAAGGGGCTGCAAACCCAGTCTGAAGTGTTCCCAGAGAAGAGCTCACAGACATTGCCTTCCTCTGCTTAAATCTTCTTTAACAAAGTGCTTAAGCATGAGCTTACAGATTGATTTAAGTAGAGTTCTATCAACTTTGGTAGGAAATTTTGTTGCAGTTATCAAATCCTAGCAAGGGATTGATTTCTAAGTAATCAAATTACTTTGTTAAATGAAAGCCTCATATTTCTCTCCTGAACTCTTGAGACAGCTGCTGAATTTTACAAAAGGCCATTAAAGGCCGTGCTGAGCAGGCCGTGCCCCGCTGGCAGGGAAGATGACTTTCCCCGGCTGACTTCTCCAAAGGAGACCTGAACCTGTCAGGGAATTGAACCGGGTTCTGCTGGTGGTGAAGTGGCAAAGCAAGCAAAACCCCTGGATCTGCGCAGGGGCCACCAGCTGATAGACTAACTCCCCCAAACCAGGTAAAAAAATGAGTCAGACATTGGAACTGGCTTGTTGGAAATTGCCTTTGCCGGCAGCCGCTCAGGGGAATAATTCCAGTTACTCCAAGCGCACGTGCGTAATTCACTTTTGCACAGAAATTAATAATGCCTGAGCAGCCCGAATTTCAGGTTTAAAGATCATCACAACTATCAGAACAGATAACTGATTAATCTTTTTATCTTTCAGAGATAGAAAAGATGGTGGCCGTGTTTCCATAGCAAGCAAAGTGAGGTTGTGGGGTTTCTGTTTTCATAGCAGGAGACATTTTCCTGGCTCCCCTTTTTCCCTGTACTGTTGGCGGGTGCACTGGGACGCTGTTGTCTTGCAGACCTGCTGTCTCCTCACCCTCCAAAGGCTTGATTCCAGCAGATGTCCTGTGAGTCTGCAAAGATAAACCAATTTTTTTTTATCCTGGGAAAACGGAGAGTAAAATCAGCTCTGCAGTCAGCATGAAGAACTTCTGACTCATACCTAATTTGATCTAATGTAAAGCTTATTGAGCTTAGGAGAATCCTACTGGGTTCCTTTTGGCTTTACTTCAGGATGATGGTTTGGGAAGTGAAGTGATGTTGCATCCATGAGCACTTCATGTCTTTTCAGTTTTCATTCATTTTCATTGAATCCTTTGTTTATCAACAGGGGGTGATTGTTCCTAAAATGGTAAACCATTTATCTTCACTGAGATTATTCTTTTGGATTTGAAATGTAAGACATTTCAGGAAATTTGTTTTAAATTAGCATTATTGCCAGGTAAAAACATTTCCCAAAGAAAAAAAAAAATCTGAAAACTTTGCAAGATTTTAATCAAAACTGAATCATGGTATGAATGGACAACTAGAAAACAGTCTGAAAAACTCATTGCTATCATGTTTTCAGTTTCATTCTTTTTGTTATTTAATTCCAGAGGATACTTGGAGTTGTCAAACTGGAGATGAACTTGAGGAGGCTGCTTGCTAGGCGATGTCGGCGACCACAGCCAGCAGTTGCAAAGGCTGCTCAAAGAATATAGAAGCTCCTGGTACAGATATATTTTTTTCTTAGGGAAGGAAAGCAGAGTATATAGGAACAGACCTATAGGATAGGAACTGTATGTTCAGGGAACTGATTTCAAAGAGGGAACAGAAGCTCATTGATATGAGCATGCTGGAGATAAAACAGGGTGGAAAAGTATTTGTATTCCTGGGCATAGCTTTGTTCCCACTTTAACTCCGAGCGTGAGAAGGATTTTGCTTTTTGCTTGATTTTTGCAGTCTGTGACTGACCGCAGCCCGGACAATTCCTGCT